ACACAACAACTACAACCACACAACAACTACAGCTACAACTACAACAACAACAACTACAACTACAACTACAACAACTACAACTACAACTACAAAACAACTACAGCTACAACTATATGACTGCAACTACACTACACTAATTACATTAATTACACCACAACTACAACTCCACTACGCTACAACTACAACTACAGTTGCAGTACATCACACTACATCCAGCAGTTGTGGGTGAGGTGACCACTGCAACCATTGCAACCATTCCAGCAAACACAACTCCAACCACCTTTCGGTCAATCAGTGGATTCGCTCTGCCATCCGTGATTCACAACAACGAACGTCTCCTATAGGTTTCCTATTCTGAAACTTCCGCCACCGCCTTGTGCGGTACTACTGGTATACATGTAATACACCATTGAAAACGTTCAATACACCTTTAAAATACCATTCAATAAACTTTTAAAATACCTTGCATATTGCACACATACAACCATGACCTGTTTCCTGAAAAAATACCACGTGCACCGAAGGGCTCTACTTCATAGTAATGCTTCTTTGTACTGTTGCATGCTTGCAATCAAATGGTCCACCCCCTTGTGAAAGGCAGCTTTGCCCACACTTGCACCAAGATGTTCAGGAATTCCACAAGCAGGAATTCCACAGTCGTTTGCAATGGATACTCAAAGGGTTCCATTCTGAAATAATCCCGTCCTCCGTCTATAGATTCCTTTGCCAATTTAGAATAACTTTGCACAGCTGTAAGGCTCTTTGAAAATAAGTGCCGCACTCCTTTATATGAGGAGACGGTGCCAGATGATGCCACTTTGCGCAAGGAATGTCATCATTGAAAGATTTTTATGCGCAAGGCATATATTGGAGGATTTTGCTTTGAAAAAAAAACAAAGCCCATGCCGAAACTGGTTTGCTTGCTGCATTCTATTTTCAAGTCGTGGCTGCGCTGAATTTCTGCCCATGGTTTTTAGTAACTTTTTTGGGCGACGGGCCAATCTGCACATTCTATGCCTAAAACTTTGCGAACTTTGCACAGGTTCTTGGATTCAAGATTTAAATTCAAGATTTTGAGAAAAACTTTTCGGATCCGCACCGTCCCTCCACGCTTCCCTCATCAAGCCTTAACGCTAGGGATCTCAAAAGTTTTGATTGAGCGCGCAGTGGCAGAATTTTGACCCCAGCCACTTAGCCTCTCAGCCACTCGGCCGCAGGCACTCAGCCATTCAGCCGCTCTGGCAAGAGTGGCTGACCGCCAGTCAGCCCTCAGCCACTCAGCCACTCTGAGTGACTGAGTGGCTGAGTGGTGGCGGCAGCCACTCTGCCAGAGTGGCTGAGTGGCCGGGGTGGATGACAAGCTTCTTTCCACTAATGGCGGATTATCTTTATGGGAAAACTTTTCGATGCATCCGCAACTTAAGCCCCGCAAAGTTTTTCACTACACACATTGTCTGTGGCATGACGTGGTGGCATCTGAAATTTGTATCGGCGCCATCTGATTTTTTATTCTTTGCTGGCTCCGTTTCGCGATGATGTTAGTTGTTTGATGCTATTTGTATGTATGTAGTTACTCGCGTGCAAGCGAACTACATTCAAATTCTGCCATTTATATTTTATCAATACAACTTCATGCCAAGAAATAGTCGCGATTTTGACCATGTTTGACCCTGCGATGCCGGTGTCAATATATCATGTGGGACTTCGCCGGTTCATGGATTGATTGGTTACTTAAGTCAGTTGTGCATGATGTCTTCCACATCATTCCATCAGCATCTCAACTCTCCTTTTGTTCATTCGTTGATATGCCTCCCAGCTTGAACACACTTCATTGCTTCTGTATTTCAATCACCTTCCTACAGGCCATTGGTTTCCTTTTCTTCAAATTAGTATTGATTTTTCAAGACTTCCGCCCCGGCATGAGCCTGGCACTACCTGGTAGCGACATTTATAAGCACCGCCTGGCTGAAAGGAGTCCAAGAAACACACACTACTCCCATCCTACTCTCATAAGAAACCCCAATGACATGGAAATCTTATGGAAATGAATGTTCCACGATTGGAGGCCCCTATAAATTCTATAGATTATTTCAATTGGGTCACGTGTAAAGTTGGTCAGGCTGGCAAAATTTGACCCGCTGGATGACAGTCGTGCAAATTTGGGCAAATCTTCACCTTAGGAGGACCATACAACCAGAGGGAATACAACCTTCTTTAAACCATGAAGCCGAACGCCATAGTTCGCAGACAAAGACTGAGCCCAAGAAGGACGGAACCCAGTTTTCCAGCAGATAGATCTAGCAGAGGGGGCGAGCAAAAAAAGGGAGATTAACAATAGAATGGAAGGCTCACACCAGCCACATTGTATAAGACCCAATGAAACATAATTAGATATGATGGGAAACATCACCAACACTATGATATTGGAGTGTGTCTCAACAAAAGACATGCACTAACCTATGGTAATTTCCATACGAAAGATAACAGTTGATCAATTGCATTCAGGGCTGCCCAAGTTTGAAAAGGAAACTAGATGAGGATTTGGACAGTTGGACAGTTCTTACAATGAAACCATCCCAAATCAATAACTTAGAACCTTTTAGAAAAAACATTTAAAACAAGAAGCCACGTATCGTTCACCGAATTGTGAAAATAAATAGCAATGAACCAATTTTAGTAATGCTTGTATACATGAAACCATGAATCAACATGAATCAACTAGCTGCAAAAATCATGACAATTGGTTTGCTTCTTTTGGAAGGTTCCAGCAACGTTTGGTTTTTCAAACTGTTTATGATTCCTGCACCGAACGCACCCAAAGAAGGTAGACCACGGTCACCAGCTCAAGGTCATTCTTTCACCTAACCATGGAAATTTCCACCGGACAATCCTTGTGAAACAACCCTTCAATTCAAAAGTCTGGAAGTATACCATAATATAAAACGCTGGGCAGCTTGTAGTGTTCCTAGAAACCCCATCATGAACAGTAGTAGAACAAACAATTCAACCCCCGTTTTTTCTGGGAATCTTGGGAAATAAAACAACAATACGTTTATATCGAGTAAGCATGCAAATTCTATTTCAAAAAGAATTGTTAATTTATGGAGACTTCTATGATCTAGAACTATCACTTGATTATAAGGGAATCAAGATTGCTAATCTTACATGGCTCCTATAGGATGTTTAGGCCGCACTGCTGCTTTATGTATTTACAGTAGCCAATATCCGCATTGATGCAGCAAAGGATCAAAGTATTAATCTATCCATTCAGAACATCCAATGGCATTTACATCCAACAAGATATGGCGAACATTAAGTTCGTTTCCAGTGAGTTTGGAGTTGGTTTATGGCATTTGATTGATACTGTCAAAATCCCTTGATCTCGGCTATCTTCAAGGAGATGGTACACCCACTAATAGCTTTAAGCATATCCAAGCCCTTTGTTGCGTTTATCTTCTTGTATCAGAGAAGATTAGCTATGTGAGTTGGAACTGGTTAAGGCAACACACTGCATGTCAATTTCATATACTTCCCATACTGGGTTCAACTTTTCATTCGACAAGTAACGCAATTGTTCATTTTGCAGAAGTCAAGCCAATGATACATGTTGAACAAAAAGCCCCAAAATATTTCAAAATATTCGCTTTGAGATTCCAGATCTGGAACCAACGCTTTTTTTTGGCACCAGCCATCACATCTTCATTCTGCGGTGGACGGTTGGAGCCACAGTCTCGTTTCGCGCTGCGAATGACAAAGTCATGCTGGGGGTGGCGGATTCAATACTTCTTTCTCACAACCCTTTAACACAGCTGTTAGTTTGCCTGACATTCCATTCAACCCGTAAGAATATATGCCCCAGAGCCTGCATGGAGGGAAAAAAAAGGACCTAATATAAAACCTCGCTTGGGACCTTCTCTGCAACCTTCTCCGGAACCCATTGGGAACCTGACTTGGCTTTGCACCAAGGCTTCCTGGAACCTTCTCCAGAACCTTCTCCGGAACCCTGTTGAACCTGACCTGGCTCTGCACCAAAGCCTCCCCGACCTTCTCCAGAACCTTTTCTAGAACCTTCTCCGGAACCCTGTTGAACCTGACTTGGCTTGCATCAAGGCTTCCTGTGGAGCCTTCTCCGGAACCTTCTCCGGAACCCTGTTCCGGAACCTTCTCCGGAATTTCTCCGGAATCCTGTTGAACCTGACCTGGCTCTGCACCAAAGCCTCCCAGGCCTTCTCCGAGCTCAAAACCCCATTAGCTTACGCCGTTGGGGAAAACAAACATTCTTCCTCAAAAACCACAAAATTTCCTGGCGTTTTGGCTGGAGTTATGTTGATTGCAAAGAAATTTGAAATCCCCAATGGCCGGGTGGAGCGCCGACTGCATTCGAACACATGATTTTTCGGGAAAGAACCCCCCTTTGGTACTAAACAGCACTTTCATGCACTTTCTACTTCCGATTGGGGTCTTGATGGGAGCGTGCCTATCTTATGCGGATCCAGCGTCAGCTAGCGTTTCTACAACATGGCGATGTGCATGTACGAGCATGTAGAGGTTGAAGAGTGGAAGTTTGATCCCCCTTTCTTTCCTTCCACGGTCTACTTAGAAAGGCGACCCCGGATCCCAGCAACCGCAGATCTTGATACCAACCGCAAGTTTATGCTAGCCTTTCCTGCCTTCGCACATCACAGGCTACACAATGGGGAACGCCGGCTGGACTTTCGTTTTGAGGCCTGACCGGAAACGCTGGGAGCTGACTGTTGCCTTGGGCTTGCGGCTTGCTTAGCAAAACATTTGCTGAACCTGTGCGGCTTGTGCTGTTTCCTCAGCATATCCAACAGTGAACAGGAATAAAACAAGAAAGGATCATTTCGACGATGGCCAAATCAAGTCAACTAGAACATCTTGTTTGAAGTGTTTCACGATCGATCGTGCTACGGTTTCCTCTTTTATTGTCCAAGTCAGTTGGATCGGTGGAACACGTGTTGCCTCGTTGTGAGAGTATTCAACACGTAGTCAAATATGTTTGGTTTTGCTGGTATGCCACAGTCTCCTGTCCATTTGCGTTTTTAAACCAATTCACAAAGCCGCCCGGTGTTGGAGTTCCGTGGAAAGTCTCGAGCCTTCTGATGAGAGCGGCTTCGCCGGGCGATTATCCAGATTTGTTGTAGATGTTTGCAGCGCGTAGCAAACTGATCGGATCGCTCACACACAAAGAACTTATGAATGCATTTAGTGGTTTCATATTGTTTTAGCGGTGGGCTTTCCATATTTTTTTATGAAACTATTGTGCTTTTTGATGCAGAAAAACAATGCAGTAGAACTTGGGACCAGGCATGATATTTCAACCAGTTTGCTGTAGGGGCTGAAAGTTTGATCGATGTCGAAAGCGCATTTTGTTTGCTCAGGCTACCGAAACAAAAAGTTCTTGTTTTCATTTTTCCGGGCTTCGCGCCTACTCAGCCAGCTATGGCGAGCAACGCTTCAGCGAGGTGGTTGGGATTCAAGAACGAATTGCACCTCGAAAGTGCGCAGAGGAGTAATCGATTCTTCTTCAGTTTGCTTGATGCATGCAGAAACTTCAACCCCCGCTGGCGTGAGATTACCGAAAATGCGATTCACAGCGGTCCTTGGCTTCGTCGTGAAACTGGCAACGCATGTCGGTGTGCTACCTTGCGCTAGCAGATGAGCAAGCCTGGATTGCAAGAAGTGACAGGGATCATATCCCTTCCTTCGCCAATGCCTTGAGTTCACTTGCTGGCAAGGAAAGTTCGGCAGGCAAAGTGGTGGCGTACTTTTCGGGGTGAGCCTGTATGCAAGAGCTCAGCTCAACGGCACCATCTTCCGCAGAAGCTTTGGTTGCCTCTTGCAAAGCTGCTTGCTGAACGCTTGTGATTCACAATTGGTTGTGACAGCTTGCTGTGGGCAGAATGGCCTCAAGAGCGGCAAGCTCCTGGTTTCGTTTGCGGCTGAGCAAGGCATGTAAAATAAGAATTTGCAATTGTTAGGTTTGCCAAGAGATTCTTTTCCCTAGGCGAGATCAGATGCGGGAGCACGGAGCATGTGTTTGAAAACTTTGGAAGCTCTAGTTTCGTATATAACAAGTGTGGGCGCGTTGTCGCAGTTGCAGACGTTTGATTGTTATACTGACTAGGTTCGCAGTGTTGCCTTTTTGTTGGTGCCTGTCGCAGCTCAGAAGCTGACGGCCTTTGACGCACCTTCTGCTTCCAGCGTATATTCCACAGAACCCTTTTGGGTGGATGTGGCAACGCATTACGCTTTGGGCGCGGCTGTTGGTGTGCTCTGTGCTGCAAAAGCTTTTTGCTGATGCTTTGTGTCTTGTGCCAGGTAATGGTGCAGCGGTGGGTCCGGAGACTTGGGAAATGTAGGTTTTGTATTTTTGTAATCGCGTTGCTTTGCGGATGAATGTCTGGCAGGAAGCATGGCCGGAGCGAAATTGTTTCTTGGACAGGATCATCCACGGCCAGACGGCAAGTGCTCGGGGTAGATCTTCGTTGGAGCTACGCTCCAGCAGAGGTGAAGGTGCTGACGAGTTTGGATGGGGGCAATTTTCAAAAAGCTGCGGGATGGTGCCAGATCGACCGCAGTGAGCCAGGTTTCGAAGAGAGAATTATGTTTGCTTCCATGTGCTTCGCTGCGGATGGCTCTGCTGCCCATGCCTTGGACCACGACGAAGGAGCATGTCTTGGTGCAAGCCAATTCTTTCAAGGCGGCTTTGACTCCTACAATACTGCATACTTTTATTCCTTTAGTTTTATATTGAGCTTTGCAGCCACTCTGCAGAGACAGCAGGAAAGCGTTCGAGCAAGCTTGTTCTATTGCTCCTGGATGTCGTTGAGCAAAAACTCGCTTTGCATGGAAGATTCTTTTGTGTGCCGAGAAATGCACTTGCCCTGCATTGCTGTGATATTGCGTCATTCCAACGTCCACCCTCTTCTGCTGCTTTTTGTGATTGTATTCTTGCTGCTCCAATCACGGATTCAACTGTGGGGAGAGCATGTTCATTGCTCCGCCCGCAAGAGTTGTCAGTGTGAATTCTGGAAGCTTACAACTTCTGGTTTGCGCCTCCTCTGATGACCTCACCAATCGCGCAGGAGAAGTTTCATGGGGAAATCTTCAGAAGAGAGGACGGGATCCCTTTGACATTCCCTTGAGAGGCCGCTCCACCAGAAGCTGGCTCATAGGGATAAATTCTTGGATCACTTGGGCAGGGCACCTCATCGTAAAAGAGGGGCGAAATGGCGATGTATCGAAATCGTTTGCCCATTTAGGCTTGGCCTGCCCCGTGCATTCTCATCGCTGTCTTGCTTTGGGCGAGGACGCAGCGCACTGGAAGGCAGATCTGGGGTTGCTCTTCTGCTGTTTGGCGCCAGATACCGAAAGGTATTGCTTTTGATACCGAAAGATATTTGCGTTGGATTCCAGGCAACCTGTGGCGCCTATGCGGTGATGCTTGTCTTCATTCATGGCCTTGCAGGTTATGGTACAAGCAGAATGTCATACAATACTGTGCATATTCCCTTGCATGGTATCGGGTGACTTCCTGCTCCTGTCCATTTTCCATGACTGAGGGCGGCAGATATCTTTCTCAAAATGGTTGGAGACAGCCGTGGAAGTGGAAGTGGCGGTTCCAGTGAGTTTGATGGTGTGGTTTAGTCACGCCAGCGACTACTTCAACAGAATACGGCATAATACGGCCATTAGGCAGGAACGCATGCATGAGAATGCAGCATCCCTGTCAATCTTCAACACTATCTTTGTATCTGGCGGCACTTCTGAAGTAGAGCTCTGTCATAGCGGGGATGTATTCCAACATGCGGCGCGAGAACCTCAACCTGAGCTGTGGCAGCACGCCTTTGATGATTAGGGCTGCTCCCAGGATTGTTGGGGCTGCCTTCTTACAGGGATGCAAACCATGTTGGCCAAAATACAGACGATACATTTAGATGCATGATGAGCACGGGCAAGCACCAGTAGTACCACTCAAGGCGGTGGCGGAAGTTTCAAAAATAGGAAACGTATAGGAGAGGTTGGTTGTTGTGAATCACGGATGGCAGAGTGAAGCCACTGATGGACCGACAGGTGGTTGAGGTCTCATCTCTTTCTCTCTCTTTCTGTCTCATTCTCTGGCCATCTACCTACCTACCCACCTATCTATGCATCCATCTATCTCTCTCTGTCGTGTTGTGCAGCGTGGTGTAATTAGTGTAGTGTAGTGTAGTGTAGTGTAGTGTAGTCTTATATAGTTGTAGTTGTAGTTAGTGTGACGTAGTGTAATGTAGTGTAGTGTAATGTCATTAGTGTAGTGTAATGTAATGTAGTGTAGTTGCAGTTGCAGTTGTAGGTGTAGTGCAGTGTTTTCAGTGTAGTGGAGTGTAGTGGAGTGTAGTGTAGTGTAGTGTAATTAGTGTAGTGTAGTGTAGCGTAGTGTAAATGTAGTATTGTTGCAGTTGCAGTTGTAGTTGTAGGTGTAGTGCAGTGTTTTTCAGAGTAGTGGAGTGTAGTGTAGTGTAGTGCAATTAGTGTAGTGTAGTGTAGTGTAGTGGAATGTAGCGTAGTGTAGTGTAGGTGTGGTCTAGTGTAGTTGTAGTGTAATGTAGTGCAGTGTAGTGGAAAGTAGTGTAATGTAGTGTAATGTAGTGTAGTGGAGTGTAGTGGAGTGTAATGTATTGTAATGTAGTGTAGTGGAATGTGGTGTAGTGTAGTGTAGCACAGTGTAGCAAAGTGCCGAATGTAATTGAATGTAGTATAGTGGAGCGGAGTGTAGTGTAGTGTAATGTAGTGAAGGTGTAGTGGTGGTTGTAGTTGAAAATGCGACAAAACCCTCACGTTTTGCTCATTTTTCACAAGATCCACAATCCCTTGCACCTGCCACGCGGAACGACATCTCAACGTCCAAAAGTGGTCCAAACCCGTGGTGTTTTTAACATGTTGACTTCGACATGCGCTTCGCGCCCCCAACGGCGTGCACTTTTTCGACATCTCAACTTCCAAAAGCGGTCCGACGCTGAGGTGTTTTGTACATTTTGACTTCGACATGCGCTTCGCGCCACAACGGCGTGCACTTTTTCGACATCTCAACTTCCAAAAGCGGTCCGACGCTGAGGTGCTTTGTACATTTTGACTTCGAAATGCGCTTCGCGCCACAACGGTGTGCACTTTTTCGACATCTCAACTTCCAAAAGCGGTCCGACGCTGAGGTGCTTTGTACATTTTGACTTCGAAATGCGCTTCGCGCCACAACGGCGTGCACTTTTTGGACATCTCAACTACTAAAAGTGGTCCGAAGCTGGTGTGTTTTGTACATTTTGACTTGCAAATGTGTTCGCGCCACAACGGCGCGCAATTTTTCATCTCTCATCTGGCCAGATGGCTCCGCACCCGCCGCTTTAGCGAGCCTACTTTTCGACCCACAAATCATTGAAAAATCACAGTGTTTCGCGACTTTCCTACCTTTTCACGCATCTGCATCTTCTTTCTTCTGGCTCTTTCTCTTCTCTGATCTTCTCTCTTCTACTCTCCTCTTCTCTCTGACCCTTTCCATCTCTGCTTTTCATCTGTCCATATTGTCGGAAGTTTGACTTCTAAACTTCCTTCGACAATTGTTTTAAAGCTAAACCTCATATTCCAGGGTTTGCACAGGGTCATTTTGTTTGAGTTTTCTTTTCTTCCTGCTTTTGCTGGGACAATGTGGCCCGTTTTGGCAGGACGGAGGGAGTTTCCGTTCGATCCGCCCATCACCAGCAACAGTGTGCAACAAGCAAAGCAATTTGCCGAGGACTTGAAGAAAAAGCTTCTGGCTGTGGACCCGGTCGTCTTTTCCCCATATCTCAGTTGGTTGCAAACAGTAAAGGCCCTTGCTGAAGAATTCGTTGCCATCGTACTGCTGGATCAAGACTTGGGGGAAGTTCTGGGGGAGCGTTTTTGGTCAGATTTTGGAAGAGCACCAAGAGCCTTTGCCGAACGCAGCGGGTCAAGGCAGGTGGGGCCATGGGCAAGATGCCGCCGCAGTGGCCGGAAACACTGGAAGACGACCGCGTGAGATACGCGAACCGATTCCCGACCTAAGAGACGCTTACGGCATGCCAAGAAGAGTTGTATCTTAGTCATCCATGGCCATGCTGCAAGCCTGTGCGAAATTTCTGCCTGCCACGCGGCATCTGAAGATTAATTCAATGAACTACGCAGCAGCAAGTTGGATTGATGGAACAAATGTTGCCTGGCTGTGGCAGTTTTGACAGGCGGTCAAAAGGGTCGAGATTCCGTGGGTCACAGGGTCATGTCAAGAAGGACTTTCATAAAAGTATGATGGGTTCGAAGGGCTTCTGAGTTCCTTTGGACACATTGCTCAAGCCTATTTTAGGGTGAGAAGATATGCCCTCTAAATTTGCAAACAAGTGCCATATGCATAGGATGGCGTGATTAGAAGATATTAGATGATGTTAAACATGAAAGACATTGGGGGGCAAGAGTTGGGACTGGAAGAAGTGAATAACACTGAAAACATCTCAAGGTGTGTGTGTGTGTGGAACCAGCAGATGAACCGAAGCAACCACTCCACCAAGCCAACGGTAAAGGTTTCAACAAGAATCTTAAGCCGATGCATCAGCCAACCAATGCGAACACGCTGATGGTTCAAGCCATCCAGCCAATATCAACAGATCGGGGATGGATTTGTTCCCGGTGCTATGCCAGGATGCCGAATCTCCGACGAAGCGTTTGATGCTACACTGCCTTCGCGTCAAGGTGGCGGGCACCGAAGTTCTGGCCCCGCAGGCAGATGGGGCAACTCCAGGGTGGCCAAGGGCCTGGCGATTTGGTTTTTCCACTCCAGTGGGCTGCGACATGATCAACATTGATCAACAAGGTTGGGTGCAAGTTTGCTTTGTGGGTTACACCATATTTGCATTCACAAATCTATGTGTATTTTTTTTCGCAACCACACAAAAGCCACACTGGAGCCATTTCCGCTTCAGGAAACTGAAGACGTTCAAACAGCCATTGTCCCACCACAGCGCCAGGCACATGTGCAACATTGTTTTTTTGGTGGCTTGAGCGCCCAATAAGGGCCCATTTTTTCGCGTCAATGCGTCCATAGCTTCATGGTTCGAACCACGTTTTACTAGCCACAAGACAGGATGTGGAATGCCACGCGGGTCTCGAAAGTTTCTCGTGGCATCAACTAACTGCATGTGAACATCAAAATGAAGGTTATTGCCCCGCCCCCCCCCACCCGCCCGCCCCCGCCCCCCCACCACCGTATCCTCACGCATATTTAAATCTACATGTGCAGTATGTATATATATATATATACACATTTAAGCAGCCGATATTTCAATAACACACAGAGGTTTGGGGGATGGGATGGTTCACCTGAACTTGAGGGCTTGTACCTTGAGGCTGATCAACATCAGCTCACCATTTTGCAGAGCAAAGTCCTGAGGAGATCACTTCAGAGCTGGAGGTTCAGCAGGAATTGGCGGATTTTTCAGTTGCAGCAGATGAACTCATGAGGCTTTGCTTGCAACGATGGCAGGGGGGTGATTTTGCCTGCTGGGGAGCATAGGGCATAAGACTATGCCCCCGCCAAAAGTGAAGTGATTTGTTTTTTGGTTTACAAAATCAGGAATTTTGGCTGAACTTGTTTGGTTCAAAACCCCACCAGCAGCGCCGAGCATCACCACGGATCCCTCACTAAAGGAACGTGCAGAATAGCAAGCCGGTCAGTGAATGGGACACCTTTGCAGGCGCAACTGAAAATACGGGGAGATGGTTTGTTGGTTTTGGCTGACCTAGCTGCAATGAGCAGCAGGGCGAGGTGCAATGTAGCCTAGTGGAATGCAATGCAAAAGGAAATGTAGTTCAATGATGCACGTATGCAGGTCATGTGCCCCTTTTTTCTCGTGCACGCGCGCGCATGTAATGTGAATGCATATTATCCACGTGCCAGTTTAATTTTTGCTCACGCCCATCACCTTACTTGATTTTGTGAAAACAGGCGGATTGCCTTCCCAAATCGTGGACGATACTTGCTGGGATCGCCGCTTGGCTCGGGGCAACGAAGCAATGCCCCATCAAGCAGCATGGCAGTCATGAGTTTGGGCCCGGGGTGGTCAGGCATCACCATAAACCATGTGTTACGCGGGGTTGAAGCCGAAGTTGGATCTATCGTTGGTCCCTGGTGGTACTATGATTGAGGCACATCAGCACCCGCAACTGAAGACCTGGAAAGGCATATTTTGCAGGGGGGCCTGCCTTAAGTAGCACATCTCACTTTTGGCGGAGCATGGGTAGATATGGGTATTCTTACTTGGACAGGGCGGCTTAGAGAACCCCATCATTGCTGCGTGGACTGCAAGGGCTTCATACCATATCCCCATCCGTTTTTTCCGGGTTTTCCTTTTCTTCTTGGTCATTGTTCTTTTGTTAATCCAGTTTGTGGGAATGCACACAGGCCCTGGCGGGGCCTACGCATTGCAAATCTATCAGGTTACAAGTTGCCACGGAAGGTGAAAGGGCCGCCCTTTCACCCAATGGACCCGCGGCGCCAAAAACAGGGACGCTGCGGCGCGCTGTCCAAATTTTCAAGTTTGCCCAGGTTGAGCGCACCTTTCAGCAATGCGTTGTTGTTGTTGTTCTTCTTCTTCTTCTTGTCCTTGTTCTTGCTGTTGCTGGTTTTCTTGTTCTTGCTGTTGCTGTTGTCGTTGTTGCTGGCGGTGGTGGTGGTGACGGTGATGGTGATGGTGATTGTGGCGTTGTGGTGCAGTGGGTGGTGGTGATGGTGGTGGTGGTGGTGGTGTGGTGGTTGCGGTGGTTGCGGTGTTTGCGGTGGTTGCGGTGGTCGTGGTGGTCGTGGTGGCTGGGTGTGGTTTTATCGTAGTGGTTGTTGGGTAGGATTTGCTACAATCATGTTTTGCTTGGATACCAGTAGTACCGCGCAAGGCGATGGCGGAAGTTTCAAAGATAGGAAACCTATAGGAGAGTTCGGCTGCCTTGACGCATGGATGGCGGAGCGAACCCATTGCTGGATCGACAAATGGTTGGACTGCCGGGCTATCTGTCTCTCTATCCGTTTGTCTTATTAATTATCCATTTGTCTATCTATCTACCTATTTGCCTTTTTATCTATCCATCTGTTTGCCTGTCTGTTTTTTTAACCCTCTGTCCAATTATCTATCTATCTATTTATCATTATTTATCTATGTATTTATTTGCGCGTCCTATCTGCCTATCTGTCGGTTTGTCCACGGATGTAGCTTTCAGTATGTCTATCGGTCTCTTTATCTGCAAAAATCCGTGCATCTATGCGTTTGCCTATTTATTTGCCGCGCACTTTTAGCGGACCATTTTCGTCACTATATTAC